CCTTGCCATGACTGGCCTTTATTGGGTTTCTCGGCACATTACATGATGGTCCTCATTTACTATGCACAGGTTCGCTGTAGGTGGTTACCCTTTACAGAAAGCAAAGGAGCCAATGCTGCTAATCACATCTCAGAAGAGGGATATTTGCAAATGAAAAGGCAAAAGTGGTTGAACCAGTTACACCCATCCTTAGAAGGTTTACCATGGATTTTAAGAAGTTACTTTGCAGTAAATGTCCTCAATTCAGGGTGAGGGAGTTTTTTTTTTTTAGCAAGAGCAAGACTCAAAGCGGCCTGGGTACATTGCAGGCCTGATTCCCCACGGGAGAACCTGTCAGTGGGCATGGATCCTGTGCATCTCTGCATGGGAGCTGGGCCCACACCATGCAGAATGGTCTCCTACATTATAGCACACCTCCTACCACATGCTCACCACCACTTGCCCTACTTGGGAGAAGCCAGTTCTGGCAGGCTTCCTCATTAGGTTCTTAAACAGCCTGAGACTGGACGGTTAACTAAGTTTCACTGAAACTGATGGGAGATTATGGGTGTTCAATGAAACTTTGTGTGTAAACTTGGAATACAGTGTCATAGATTTATGGACCAGAACAGACAATAGAGGTCACTGACCTCTATCCCATCCCCATTTTATATGTGACTCAGAGAGGTCAAGGGACTTTTCCATTGCCATTTAATAAGTAGGCAACATAGGCAGGACTGAAGTCTTCTGAATTTCTGATCTTTCCCTGCCCTGTGCAAACTTGCAAGTTATGTACACTTCTAAGAAGTTAGACTGCACCTGCCTGTCTGCCCTAAGGTCTATTTTCTGATCTTATTGTGATCTCTGAATGATCACGCACCTCATTATCTAGGCTCTCTTGTCTTCTGTTTCCTGGTAGGTTTGACCAATGTTGGGGGCAGGGCACTGATGGAAAAATTTGAGAGCAGGAGTTGGCAAAGAAACAGTATTTCTTTCCCCCTCCCTTCTTAGTTTGTCATCTCTAACTATGATCGAGCCCCCTCTGGTCCCAGTACCTATTGGACAGTCCCCACTGTGACTCTAGTCTCTGCCGGATGATCCAGTAACATCATCTTCTCCAATAGAAGGAGTCACAGTCACTTACTGCTGTGGTTAATCTCTGGGTTGCCTCACTGTGCCCTGTTTGGCTTCTCAGCTCTTCAAGCACTTATATAACCAATTCCCTATATTAAATTATCTGTTTGTTAAGACCTAGGCTGTTTTCTCTTTTCCTTACTGGATCCTGACTGATAGAGTGGGACCATCATTCTGTGTGTTCTTGCACATTGTAGGGATGCAATAAATGTTTGATCATAGTGATATTAATCAAACTGATTAAGACTGTATCATATTTGCTATAACATTTTAATTAAATTTATTGGAGATACATTGGTTCATAGAGTCACATAGGTTTTGGGTATATATTTCTGTGATACATTATTTGTACGTTACATTGTGTGTCCAACACCCAAGTCAGATCATCTTCCATCACCGTATATTGGACCCCCTTTACCTTTTACTACCCACCCCATTCCCTCTGGTTACCACATGCTGTTGTCAGCCTGTGTCTATGACTTTCAGTTTTATATCCCACATAGGAGTCAAATCATATAGTTCTTAGCTTTTTCTGACTGATTTATTTTGCTTAGCATAATATTGTCAAGATCCATCCATGTTGTCACAAATGGCTATGTCATCTTTTCTTATGGTTGAGTAGTATTCCAGTGTGTATATGTACATCTTCTCTATCCAATCCTCTGTTGAAAGATACTTTGGTTGTCTCCATGTCTTGGCTACTAAATAATGCTGCAAATGAACATAGAGGTGCATATATCTCTGTGAATAAATGTTTTTTAATTTTTTGGGTAGATACTCAGAAGAAAGATTTCTGGGTCATATGGTAAGTCTATTTGTAATTTTTTGAGGAACCGCCAGACTGTTTTACATAGTGGCTGTACTAGTTTATATTTCTACCAGCAGTGAATGAGGGTTCCTTCTTAACCTTTCCAAAAGTTATTATCTGTCTTGTTGATAATAGCCATTCAAATAGATGTGAGGTGGTATCTCATTGTAGTTTTGATTTGAATTTCCCTAATAGCTAGTGAAGTTGAACACCTTTTCATATATATATATTGGCCAGTTGTACATCTTCTTGGGAGAGGTGTCTGTTCATGTCCTCTGACCATTTTTAATTGGACTGTTTATTTGATGTTGAGTTGTATGAGTTATTTATATATTTTGGATATTAACCCCTTGTTGGAGAGCTGTTGTTAGCAAATATCTTCTCCCACTTGGTTGGTTACCTTTTTATTTTGTTGTTGTTTTCTTTCGCTGTGCAGAAGCTTTTTAGTTTGACATGGTCCATTCATTTAATTTTGCCTTTATTTCCCTTGCCTTTGGGGTCAAATTCATAAAACGTTCTCTATGACCAAAGTCCATAAGTTTAGGACTTATGTTTCTTCTAAGTAATATATTGTTTCAGGTCTTATATTTAGGTCTTTGATCCATTGTTAATTGATTTTTATACCAGGGGACAGACAATAATCTAGTTTCATCCTTTTGCAAGTGGCTTTCCAACTCTCCCAGCACCATTTATTGAAGAGGTTTTCTTTTCTCTATTGGGTGTTTTTGTCTCCTTTGTTAAAAATTATTTGCCTATATGCCTGTGGTTTTATTTCTGGGCTCTCAGTTCTATTTCATTGGCCTGTATGTCTGTTTTTCTGCCAATGAATATTGTAGTTCTGTAGAATAATTTGAAGTCAGGTATTGTGATACCTCTGGCTTCATTCTTTTTTGTAGATTACTTTGGCTATTTGTGGTCTTTTGTGATTCCATACAAATATGGCATTTGTTTTTGCTCTGTTTCTTTAAAAAATGGCATTGGGGTTTTGATGGGGATTGCATTAAATCTGCATATTGCTTTGGCTATTATGGCCATTTTAACTATGTTGACTCTTCCAGTCCATTAGCATGGAATATCTTTCCATTTCATTGTGCCTTTTTCAGTCTTTTAGTAATGCTTTGTATTTTTCAGTATATAGGTCCTTCACATCCTTGTTAAATTTATTCCTAGGTATTGTATTTTATTCTTTAGGTTGCAATTGTGAAAGGAATTGTTTTTTTTTTTTTCATTTTTTCTGAAGTTCCATTGTTAGTATAGGAAAGCAATGGATTTTTGTACATTGATTTGGTGTCCTACAACTTTACTGTATTTGTGTATTCTTTCTAAAAGCTTTTTGGTGGAGTCTTTAGGGTTTTCTATGTACAAAATCATTTCATCTCCAAAAAGTTACATTTTTACTTCTTCCTTCCCACTTTGGATGCTCCTATTTCTTTCTCTTGCCTAACTCCTCTAGCTAGGATTTCCAGAACTTTTGAATAAGAGTGATGAGAGTGGGCATCCTTGTATTGTTCCTGATTTTAGAGGAAAAGCATTCAGGTTTTCACCACTGAGTATGATATTGGCCTTTATTATGTTGAGGTACTTTCCTCCTATACCCACCTTATTGAGTGTTTTAATCATAAGTGGATGTTGTATCTTATCAAGTGTTTTTTCTACATCTATTATAAGATCATATGATATTTATATTTTGTTTTGTTAATGTGGTATATTACATTGATCAATTTGCATATATTGAACCATCCTCTTGCCCCTGGAATGAACCTCACTGATTGTGGTGTTTTTTTCTTTTAATGTATCATTGTATTCGATTTGCTAGTATTTTGTTTTGGACTTTTGTATCTATATTCATCAGAGATATTAGTCTGTAGTTTTCTTTTCTAGTGTTAATCCTTGCCAAGTTTTGGTGTCAGGGTTACATTTGCCTCAGAAAATGTGTTAGGTAATATTGCCTTTTCAGTTTTTTTTGAAGATTTTGAGAAGGATGGGTACCAAATCTTCTTTGAGTGTTTGGTAGAATTCACTAATGAAGCCATCTGGCTCTGGACTTTTATTTTTTGGGAGATTTTTGATGGTTGTTTGTTATAATTTTTGAAAAGCAAAAAGTGGCCCTGGCTGGCGTAGCTCAGTGGATTGAGCATGGGCTGCGAATCAAAGCATTGCAGGTTCAATTCCCAGCCAGGGCACATGCCTGGGTTGCAGGCCATGGATCTCTAAAAATAAATAAATAAATCTTTTTAAAAATGTAGCTGTTTTTTTTTTTAAAAAAGAAAGAAAAGCAAAAAGTGGAAACATTTTCCTAAGACACTTTCCTGATGTCAGTTTTGTGGCTTCTACACTGTGGTGTCAAAATAATGTATTCCTTTGATCTCATCAACCTTTTCCACCTCTGTCATGGAAAAGATTTTTGTTGGGGTGCATGGGTTCGTAATTTTTAATTATAACAGAATGAGTCCTAATGTCATGCTGTTGGTTTCCTGCACCTGCTTTGGTAACAACTACATTTGACCTTAACGAGCCCGGTTGTTGTGACCTGTAATCCTCTTTATATGCCAACCCCTGTTCTTGGCCTCCACACAAGAATTCCCACAAGGATTCTATTGGAGATGGTGGTTTCCAAGATTGGGGTATCTGCCTGCTGGCACTGGATTTGATACTACCAGCTTGTTTTTCCAAACATTAATATCTCAGTGATCTCCAAACATCTTTTCTGTTCCAGAATATATTCCAAGTTTTATAAGAATATCTCCAAAGCTTTTTTCTTTTAAATGTGTAAGGGCCTAAGAGGAGGGGCAAGGACAATATAAATTTTAAGCTAGCAGACTAGTTCTTAACACTTAAACAAAAAAAATATTTTTTCCTTAAAAAATCCTCTCTTTATATATTAATTTATTTGGGAGAAATTACTACTTAGCCAACCCTTGGCAGTTTCAGTTCAAGAAGCTTTGGAACCAGTCATCTACAAAGGCTTAAATGTTTTCTGTTTAAAAGCTCAATTTCACCTTCTCCACCATGGTGGTGAGAAAACTGACAACTTATTTTAAAGATTTTCTCCTCTTGTTTCCTTTTCTTTCTTTTGCAGACCATGTGTTTATACTATGGGATCTCCCATAAACAACAGGGCCCTTTTCCCATGCCAGGAGCCACCCGTTGCCATGTCAACATGGCAGGCCACAGTCCGAGCAGCTGCGTCTTTTGTTGTTTTAATGAGTGGAGAAAATTCTGCCAAGCCAACACAGCTTCGGGAAGGTATGGTACATGTGTTCTGTGCTTCTTTATGTATGGTACTCATGGTGGACCCAGAAACCAAATATGCAGTGTTTTTTGCAACTTGAAAGAGCTTCTTTATTAGTTGGGTTAGAATGAACATACTGAAAACATCCTGCCCTAGAAAAGAGCAGGGAGGATGAGGGGCATTTGGGAGCCTGGGCATGGCATGTGGGGCTCTTCATGCCAGACTTAATAATTCCTAAATTATTTCAACAGTTGCTTTGACCTGGTGGTTTGTGGGCCATCAGTGGGTGATCTTGGTTAAGACTTTCTGGGCAGGCAAGTTTGTCATGGAAACACTGTTACAGTTGAGTTGTCTGTGGTTCGTCATGGAGCCTACACAAGGTTATCCATTACACTGAGTGATAGTGCTCCTGTTGGCCGGCCCATGAAAGCTCCTGGTAAAGCATGTTCCAAACACTGTTTGCCCATGGGATTCTGAACCAAAGGATCAGTAAAAAAGATGAAAGGCAAGTGCTAATGTGTCCTCAAGGTTTTGTGTGGGACTTACTTGCTTATTGCAATAATTAACTCTTTCAGTTGAGAGCCTGCGCATGTTGATGCCAAGTAAAATTTTTGTAATTGTAGTATTTCTTCATTTAAAATATGGTGTCTCCTCTCACATACTTATAAAAACTTTAAATTTTAAGTAATGAAATAATTTTAGAGAAAATGGTTGCTAACATTTTGTTGTATTTCCCTCCAGTATTTCAAATTTGTATGTATATATTATTTCAAAATTGTAGTCATAGCAAAGAACAGCTTTTTTACTTATGATGTATCTTGAATGTTTTCTAGGTCACTAAGTATTTTTCAAAACTATGATTTTAATGCCTGCATAATATTTTATTGTATGAATATGTATTTTAACATATTTGTAGTAGACATTTTTTATTGTTTTCAGGTTTTTTCCTACTATGAATAAAGTTGCATTAAATTCCTGAGGAAACATTTAGTATAAAACTAGAATTATTGAGTCAAAGTTTTCAGGATGTGTAAGGCTGTTGGTACATATCCCAAGTTGTTTCCCAGAAAGGTTGTACCAATTTACTATTGTACCAATAACTAACACGTTTTTTATACCCATCAGTAGTTATGAGGGTCCCTGTTTCCCAGGAACTTCACCTATTTGATAGTCAAGAAAAGGACTATTTCAAACCTGGATTATTTTGATTATCAATGAGATTTTACATGTCCTTATATGTTTCTTAACCATTTTCGTTTCTTAGCTCTTCGCTTCCTTTTTCTTTTTAAATTTTATTTATTTATTTTTAGAGAGAGGGGAAGGGAGGGAGAAAAAGAGGGAGAGAGACATCAATGTGTGGTTGCCTCTCATGTGCACCCTACTGGGGACCTGGCCCACAACCCAGGCATGTGTCCTAGACTGGGAATTGAACCAGTGACCCTTTGGTTAGCAGGCCGGCCATCAGTCCAGTGAGCCACACCAGCCAGGGCTATTCATTTCCTTTGCCCATTTTTGTACTGAGGCTTTAGTGAGGTTTTTCTAAAGTTTGTTTTCCCTTTTACTTTGATTGGCTCTTTTAAAGAAGTAGGTGTTAACCTCATCATATTTGTGAAAAGTATTTTTCCCAGTTTTTAGTATGCCTTTTAATTTAATATAATGTTTCTGACCTATTGGAGATTTTCATTTTTATTTAGTCAAATCTGTCAAATTACTCTTAGAAAGTCTTTCATTATTTGATCTGAGATTCATCTGTTTTCTTTTAATATTTTTATTTAATTAAAAATTTTTCATTGAGTCTTTGTAACTTGTTTGGATCAGAATTGTGAAATGAGGACTGCCATTTTCTTTCCAAATAGGAAACCAGTTGCTCCAAGATCATTCATTGAGTCTTTTATGATTTGTGATATCTCCTTTATCATAAACTAGATTTATGCACATACTAGAGTCCTCAAGGAGTATTTAGTTGATTCTCAAAGTAAAAAAACCATAACACATTAAAAAAATTAGTTTTAAAAACAGGTCACATTTATGTGGTTCATGTACAAATGAACAAAAGGACACAAAGTTGCAACAAAGTCTCCTTTTTCACTCCTAATTCCCAGCTACTCAATAACTCTTCCCCCAAGGTAACCAAAGTCTCCAATTTCCTTTGTATAATATATATTTCCTTTGTATAATATATATTTTTTCTCTTTTGTTGTACAGGTCATAGCATGCTGTAAATATTTTTGTATTGTACCTCACCCTTAAGAATAAATTTGTCTTACAGATAATTACATATTTAAATATAAAGAGCTTTCTCATTTTTATGATTATAGAATATTCCATAAATGGGTCTTTTACAATTTAGTGAACCAATCACTCTGGAATTTACTGTGTCAGATAAGGAATTTAATGGGCATTATTTCTAGCTTCTTGCCGCATCCACATTCCCTAGTTTTAGCTAATACAGTTTGGGGTTTAGGACTCATATTATTTCTATATTTTGTTTTTTATTATATCTTCTAGGAATTACAGTTATTGTTTTACATCTTCATCTAGTTTCAAATCCTATTTGCAATAAGTATTTAGACTATATTCTTGAGCTTTTAAGTATGACTCATCTCTCAATCACCTGGGAAATGGTTTCAATACTTTTTTTCTAGAAGCGTGGATGTGTGGTATGTTGTATGAGCCCTCCCATATTTAGGTTGGCTTTTTTGTTGCATTCACTTACGAAAAATCCTTGGCTAGGTATAAAACTCTTAGGATTTCTTCTGTTCCTTAAACAACTATAAACATTTTCATTGTTGTTCCTTCCCTAGCACTTTTTAGGAGAAATCTGAAATCAGTTTTTTAAAAAAATTCTTTGAAAGTCTGATTTTCCTGCCTATAGGCTCATAGAATTTTTTTAATTTATATAATTCACAACTTTTCTAGAAAGAAGCTTGTTGTGGGTACGACTGCTTTTATTCAACTTGATTAAAGTATAATTTACATGTGGTAAAATGCATACAGTTTAAACCCTGTTCAATGAAGTTTAACCAATACACATATTTAATTAATCAGCACCCCTATTAAGATGTAGAACGTTTACCTTAGGACTCCCCTTATGCCTTTGCCATCTCTACTTAAGTCATTCCTCCCTAACCCCACTTCTGTCAACTCCTGATCCAGTTTCCATATTCATAGATTAGTTTTGCCTCTGCTAAAAACTCATACAAATGGAGTCATTCCATGTGTACTTTTTTGTGTGTGGCTCCTTTTGCTCAGCATGTTTGTGAGATATGTCCATATTGTTGTTGGTGTCAATAGTTTATTATTTTTTAAAATTTGTAAATAGTGATACATTATGTGAATAACCCGCAGTTCGTTCACCCTCTTACCTGTTGACAGACATTTGAATTGTTTTTAGTCATTATGATAAATAATGCTGTGAACATTCCTGTACAAGTCTTTTTGAGGATATATAGGTTTTCATTTCTCTTGGGTAAATACCTAAGAGTGGAATTGCTGGATCATGTAAGTTTATGTTTAAGCTTATAAGTATCTTCCAACCTATTTCCAAAGTGATTATATCATTCAGTCAGCAATATATGAGAGTCCTATTGCTGTGCATCCTTGCAAACACTGGTGTTGTCAGATCTTTTAATTTTAGCCTTCCAACAGGGTGTAAAATACTATCTTGTGGTTTTAATTTGCATTTCTCTGGTGACTAATGATGGTGAAGAACTTTTCATATTTACTGTTCATTCTTATATCTTCCTTTGAAAAGCGTCTCTTTAAATCATTTGCCTATTTATTTAATGTTGGGTTTTTGGTTGTTTTATTATTAGATTGTAAGAATACTTTGCATATTCTATGTATAAGTCTTTTAGCGATACATATATTGCAAATACATTCTCTCAGCCTTGCCCTTTCATTTTAAAAATATATATATTTTATTGATCATGCTATTACAGTTGTCCCATTTCCCCTCTTCATTCCCTTCCACCCTGAACACCCTCTCCCTGCCAAATTCCCCCACTTTAGTTCATGTCCATGTGTCATAGCTCTTTAGCTTCTACATTTCCCATACTACTCTTGCCCTCCCCCTATTTTCTACCTACCATCTATGCTACTTATTCTCTGTACCTTTTTCCCCCCTCTCCTCCTCCCACTCCCCTGTTGATAACCCTCCATGTGATCTCTATTTCTGTGGTTCTGTTCCTGTTCTAGTTGTTTGCTTAGTTTGTTTTTGGTTTTGATTTAGGTGTGGTTGTTAATAATTGTCAGTTTGATGTTATTTTACTGTACATGTTTTTTATCTTCTTTTTCTTAGATAAGTCCCTATAACATTTCATAAAATAAGGGCTTGGTGATGATGAACTCCTTTAACTTGACCTTATCTGGGAAGCACTTTATCTACCCTTCCATTCTAAATGAAAGCTTTGCTGGATAGAGCAATCTTGATGGAGGTCCTTGCCTTTCATGACTTGGAATACTTCTTTCCAGCCCCTTCTTGCCTGCAGGTTTCTTTTGAGAAATCAGCTGATAGTCTAACAGGAACTCCTTTGTAAGTAACTCTCTCCTTTTCTCTTGCTGCTTTTAAGATTCTCTCCTTATTTTTAATCTTAGGTATTGTAATTATGAGGTGCCTTGGTCCAACTTCTTTGGAACTCTCTGAGCTTCCTGGACTTCCTGGAAGTCTATTTCCTTTGCCAGATTGGGAAAGTTCTCCTTCATTATTTGTTCAAATAACTTTTCCACTTGTTGCTCTTCCTCTTCCCCTTCTGGTACCCCTATAATTCGGATGATGGAATTTTTAAAGATGTCCCGGAGGTTCCTAAGCCTCTCCTCATTTTGTTAAATTCTTGTTTCTTCATTCTTTTCTGATTGGATATTACTTTCTTCCTTCTGGTCCACTCCATTGACTTGAGTCTGAGTTTTCTTCCTATCCCTATTGGTTCCCTGTGCATTTTCCTTCATTTCACTTAGCGTAGCCTTCATTTTTACACTCTAATTTGGGACCGAATTCAACCAGTTCTGTGAGCAT